TGGGTGTTCAGGGGGAATACAGATATCTTTCAGAACAGGGTATCGGCTGGGTGAGGGTTCAGGTCAATATGACTCTGCCTATGATTCACTTGTCCTTATCTAAGTTGGTAATATCTGCCAAGGCTACCTATTTACAAGGTCTATGACTACTCAGGCTGGTAAATTTCCACAAAAGCTGCCTGTTTACAATAGCTTATAGCCATCTGTTTCAGTGTTTTTCCACAGAGACTCAAAACTTGGTGTTAGTATACATGTATGACAGGCCTATTGCTGATTTTAGGCCTATGGCTGATTTTAGGCCTTCAGTGTGTAAGCAGGGCTGCCCCGACATCTCCTCCCCTCTCTAAGTGTAGATGGGCTGTGGCGAATCTAATCTTGTGAAGGTGGGGATAGAGGCCTGACCTCCAGAAATTGAAGGGGGCCTTGTAATTGTTCCGGTCCCCCTGTCATTGTCCAGTGAGGCATGAGGGCCATACCCATCCCGATGTCTGGAGGGGGGATACCCCTGGAGAGGGGATACTTTTGACATCAACCCCTATGCAGTCGGTTACTGAACTCTTAATTGCTATTTAAAGAAAACTTTTCTTGCCTTCTTTAAGGACAGAACCTCCCATTGAGAACCAGATATGGAGGGCGACTGGTGACAAAGAAACAAACCTCATGAGGCACGAGAGAAACTTGTTTCAGGACAATGTAGTTAGTCAGTGCTGCTTCCAACTTGTAGAGTCTGGCACCAGGCCAGTTTATATTAGATAGATATATGTAGGGCCAGTACAATTTTGGAGAAAAAAAAATGCATGGTAACAAAACCCATATGTATAAAAATCCATCAAGTTTCTTCACACACACACACGTATGTATGTATATATGAATGTACGTATATATGAGCTGTCTTCTGCATGTACATCAGAAGAGGGTATTAGATGCCAAAAGACTATTGTTATTAATTCTTGTGTGCTAAATTGAAGATACTAATAATTAAACTCAAGAGTTTCTGAAAGAGCATCCAGGACTCTAATCACTAAGACATTTCTCCAGCCCCTGAATCATGTGTATATTAAAAGAGCCCAATATATATTTTTGTAGAAGAATTGAGTACTCACAGACAAGCACTGTAGAAAACAGTATTGTCTGGAGATACTTAGGATTGTCTACTAAGTGGTGGAAATATATACCTGTTTTCTACCCAGAAGGGTGGGAGCAGATATTGTTAATAACAAGGTGACCTTTGCTATCTTTAAGGGCCTCACTCAAATACCCAGAATGTTTATCCCCAGCTCCCTTCCCTAGACCTTTTTCATTACCTTCATTTCTTAGTCAATAGAACCTATCCTTAGGGCATATGTCACATGTACATTATAGCCTGCTGACATTGTGTTAGTCAGAGAGCACACCATTTCCTAGGCCCTTAAGCTATAGGACCCATCTTTATGGAGGAAGTCACATGTACTTTGCAGAAGAGTTTTGATGTAGTCATGACTTAAGTGTTATTGTGCATATGGGTTTAGAATAATAGTTACCAGGAATTTTTTTCCAAGATTTTTTTTTCTTAAAGTGAAGATTTCAACCTATTCAAAATAATCTATCAACCACAGAATGTTAACCAGTTTCTGATCCTTCACATGATTCTCAAAGGGCAGGCAATATTGTGTGATCATTTATATTGGTAATAGTTGGACAACTTATCTTTGTGTATACATTTGCACCACCTTCTAACCAAATTACTCTGTCTGTACCCTCCTTTCTTTCATTTGCCTTTGTTATTCTTGCTTTTCTCTGGGTGTTATTAGGGTGTATAAAAAGTAGCTATTCTTTAAGGGAACTCAGCACTTACATATGACAAAGCCACCTCTTGTTGCATAGTAAGTCAGACCTCATCCTTCTGCATGATCTCTTGGGAAATCCATAAGATTTGCCTCAGAGCTCTTGTGGAAATTTTTTGGTGATACATATTAAAACTATGGGCAGACTACCCTCAGCATCCTTTCTTTCCATGCCCCCTTCTGTCAGTGGGGACAGTCGTAGTTACCTCTCAACGTTTTATGGGTCAATAACTTACAGTTGATGACAACTTGCTAAAGATTCTGAATCCTAAGTGTTCCAGAATTCAAAACTTTTTGAATATTTTTCACTATCCTCAAAATTTTGGATTTCAGATTTTAAACTTAAGAATGTTCAGGTAGTGATTTAGGTGGTCTTGTGTTTATGCTGTTATAAAGGTGCTAGTAAAGTTAATTCATCTATCCACAGTTACTCTGAAGCCAGGAGACAGTGCATTAGAACGACTAAACCTTCTGCAATTGCCAAAGAATCAGATGGCATGGACTAGTACTCAATCGCCCAACAGTATTCAGCAGATGAAGATTTCTGCTTAAAAATTACACTAATTCAAGAGAATCAAGAGTTGAAAGATCATCTGAACTTTTGTTACCGTAGCCATGGAGTCGTTTTGGTTGTTTCTTCCCGTTAGTTGAGGACTCATTTAGTATTTTGCTTTCCAAAAAGGCTATTCTAAGTGGAATCTGAGTAGTGCCAGTTTTCAGAAACAAAAGCACCTTTGTATATAACACATATGAGGCACATATAAAATAGTGATTTTTAAAAAGTAAAGGTATTTCCTCATTGACTATTTAAGAATCTGGGTAATCAATGTCAGTAAAACAGGCTTCATGGTCGTAAAACATAGAATTACATATTAATAGCCAAATAGTAGTGGTATTTGTTTTTAAAAGTGTCAAATCTATTACATCTTATAAGAAGAACTGAAATTCCTCTTTATGTAAATATTAAATGGAACAGAGGTGTCATGGCACTAGTACGAACATGCTTTCAGAAACCATTAGTTGCCAAAGAAATATTAAATGACTGAGGAGTATGAATTGTTATAAGCAACCAAAATAATAGCTTGTTCAACGTTATGCTTACTTACCTCAAATAATTCTCCATGGCTGTGTAAGAAACTGTTAGATCTTGAAAATGGTGTTCTTATAACTTTTCTGGTTTTGTGTTTGCTAGGGTTTTTTTTTTTCCTGAAAATGTAAGATATGCATATTAATACATATTCAGTTAATTTTTTCTTTTTCTGTCTTTGTTATTATTGTTGTTTTCTTTTTCTACTAGTGGATTTGAAGGCAAGTACAAGATGCAGGGTAGGTATCTGGGCGAGCCTATAGTTTAGAGTGTAGATGAGAGTTGGGATGATCCATCACTAACTCTCCTTGAAGTTTCTTTAGAAACTTCAATTCCAGTACTGCAGAGGCAGAGACAGGGAGATCTCTGGGAAATTCAGGCCAGCCTGGTATTTGTAGCAAGATTCTAACTCAAACAGAAGAAAACTAAAACTAGAAAGCAAGTAAAGAATTTCAGAAAACTTAATTTTGACTCTAAGTTAGCTAGTTTGACTTTAAAGCTACCAAATTACAAAATCACCAAAGTTTAATAACTTGAATATTATGACCATTTTGTACCACTGACGATGGTGGTGGCTGGTTGTTTTGAAACAGGGTCAGCCCTATTTGTCTTTAAATTCCCTTCATAGGCAAGAATGACGTTCATGATTCTCTTGCCTCTACCTCCCAAGTGCTGGGATTAAAGGCATGAACCACCATTCCTAGCTCCTCCCTGTCTGGAATCCATCAGTTTCAGGTGAATCAATAAAAAAATAGTAATACAAAGGAAATACAATAAAAGGAAAAGAGTAGAATTCAGGAGATTCTTCTTTCTTAAGTTGTTACTTTTAAAAAAAAACACTGTGTTCTGTGTTGTAGAACATTAGTGAATAACACCAGTCTGTGATCACAAGTTGTATGTTTTATGTGCTGCAAAGAAAGAAGACTATAAGCACTTATAAAACAAGGGCAGAATTATTAGGGGTGATAATTGCTCTGGAGAAATAAAGCAGAATAGTGGGTAGGTACAGAAAGCAGCTCAAGTTGTGTTTGCTCCAAGAGCAGTGGTCAGAGAAGGCATCTCTGAAAAGATAACATTTGAACTGAGATGTGAAAAAAACTTCATTCTCACCCCTTTATGGATCTAGCAGAAGAGTAATCTGGCAGTGGGGAAGCATGCAACAGTCTCCAGTCAGAGTGAGTGTGGACAGGAACAAAATGCAGTTAGGGATGACTAACTAATAACCAAGTTATTAAAGAAGGGAATCTAAAACATAGGCAAGGCATGTTTACAATTCAGTAAGAACTTCGGATTTGGTCCATTAGTGGGTATTGGAAGATAATTCTGGTATATGTGTAGAATAAAGACTCTGTCAGAGTCTTCAGAATTAAAGAATAGTAGTGAC